AGTGTTACTAGACCTCAATTATACAAGTACCTGCACAACCAGAGTGTCCAAACAGAGCTGAATGCTCTCTACTCCACACACCTTACCCTATGAACACAGGTAAATGACAGACCCCTCATCTCTGCCTCCAGCTCAGGGCTCCTGTCTGCACTTAGCTTAAGGGAAACCAAATCATAAACTCAAACTTCCTGACCAAGAAGCAGAAGAACAAATACAGTCCAAGCAAAATCTGCATGCGGCATAAAAAGTGAAGGCCATAGAAAGGATAAATTACTCTCTTCAAGAACCAATCTTGTTTTAGCAATGGCAAGACAATTTCCCTTCGCAGGGGCCTGGTCAACATGGTGAAACCCCGTTTCTATTGAATAAATACATAAGAAATGAATTTCCATTTTCTTAAATTTCCAAAAAACTTCACTCTTCCTAAATCAGCACAAGAGGACAACACCCTGGAGATAGGCACTGAATGGCCCTGCCCAGTTTGCCCAGGATACAGACACAGGGCTCCGTTCTGCCACCGTGGAAAGGACCGACAGCCTCACCTTTCTACTTATTTGAACTTCCCCTTTTTAAGGAAGATAAGACTATTATTTTTGGGAAAGTAGGACAGAAGATGAGAGACTTAGGAGATGCTGGTGTATCTATAGACGTTGCTTCTCTTAGGAAAAAAAAATGGATAGAATAGTAGGAAAGAAACAGCAGAACACTCTACAGACATACCAGCCTGAATGCACCTGATCTCCTCTGATCTTGGAAGCTAAGCAGGGTTGGGCCTCGTTAGTACTTGGATGAGAGAAATGGCAGAATGATCCCTATTGCTCCGTCTTCCGTTCCCTTTTTCGTTAGTTCAGCACCTATCTTTTTGAGCGCTTAATGTATGTCAGAAACCATTCTATGTGCTGTGGATATCACAGTGAGCAAGGCAGATTCCTGGCCATCATGGAGCTTGTCTTCTATCAGTGAAAGACAAATATCGTGTGTATGTGCTGGTTTGTGTATGACAGTACTATAAATACTCTAAAGAAAACAAGGCAAGGTAAGGGGGCAGAAAATGATGGGATGGGTGAGAAATACTCTTTTAGATGCGGTGGTCAAAGAAGGCCTCTCTAGAAAAATGACTTTTCACCTGAGTGAAATAAATAAGAAAGCCACACAGACATCTGAGGGGAAGAGCATTCCAGGCAGAGGAAACAAGGGCAAAGGCCCTGAGGTATGGCTGCAGCAGAAGTCAGCAAAGGAAAGAGTGAGAGCAGATGAAGCCACACTCCATGCAAGGGCTGTAGAGACCATGGTGAGGACTCTGTCTCTTCTGAGATAAAAAGCCACTGGAGAGTTTCAAGCAGAGTGACATAATAGACCCTGGCTGCTGCCTTAAGAATAGAGTGTGTGGGGCCGGGCGCGGTGGCTCAAGCCTGTAATCCCAGCACTTTGGGAGGCCGAGACGGGCGGATCACGAGGTCAGGAGATCAAGACCATCCTGGC